GGTTGTGTGTGTGTGGGGCTGTGTGCATGTGAAAAGACACTGCATGCAAATATAAAAACTGTTATGAATAAAAAGTTATCTATTTTTGTTTAAAGTTACAGAGCTAAAACCGGTTGGACCGGTTGCTGTTAAATTAGCTTCATTGTTAAGAGTTCTTTAATTGCCCGTCAATGGTTAGTGATTTAGCCATTGTCCTCCCGATGCTTGCCCGGGAGCTACACCTGGACAGGCAGCCCAGGAGAATAGGAGTGGCCTGAGACCACGTATGCAGATGAGGAATGCACTGCTCCAAAATTTTCCCGTTTTCCAGGAAAACCCCTAAAAACAACGAGCCAATATAGAATTAGGGGACCCTAGGTGATGTCTAAGGACGGGCGCGCAGTCCAGTGCCTGCTTGGATCCTTTTTGCTTCTCACCCTGACCTAAGGATGTTCACTAAGGAGGGGACCCGAAGTGTTGGACCGAAAAGCAGGAATCTGCCAATCTCCCGTGAGGACGCAGTCCCCAGCTCTGCCTGCAGACCAGCGGACAGAGCTGCATCACCCTCCTCCTCCGTGCCACTCTTGGGGACAGCGGCGGCGTGGGCGCGACCCGTCGATTTCTCCCCACCTGAGCTGAATCTCTTTAATAAAGGCATTAAAAAGGAGAAAGATCTCCTGCCCATTTTATTTCAAAAACGAACATGGCCTAAAGGCTTAATAGCAGCACTCAACAGTTCTTTGGCTTAACTTATACCTTAAGTCTAGTAATTTAACATAGGTAAAGCATTTAACTTATCCCAACTTAATTTGAACTTTATTTATAGCTTAACCTCAACAATCAAAACACTTGACAGCATTTAACCTAACTTATAACTTCAGTTCAAACTTAGTAACTTAACAAAAGGATATTTAGCAAAACTTACCTTATGTTTAACAGCTTAGCAAAAGACCAACATTTAGCAGCACTTAAGTAAACTTCTAACTTAACATTACTTACAGGCCTGAATGCTTAGATATCTGAGGTACTTAAATATCAAAAAAAAAAGGAGTATTTATATCAGATTTGTTGTAGCAAATGCACACAGACAGAAACAGTCAGCGCAGCAAGGCATCTGTGACAACTCCCCTCAGAGGTCAGTGAAATACTCACTTTTGCACCTCTGATGGGTGAAGGATTGGGGTTGGAGGAGTGAGAGTGTGGGCCAAGGACACGTCTTGGTTTGGTGATCCTCCAGGTGTAGCAAACCCGAGGGTTTGCTGCTCTGAGAGACCCCCTCAGAGGGAGATTGCTGCTCACAGCCCACTGCGCAGCAGAGCTCAACCAGCCTCATTTTGGAGCACTGCTTATAGGTCCCAAGAGTGGGCTTTAGTTATAGCCATGTTTCATCCTGGCCACAGCTAGGCTCAGCAGCTTCTTTGAAAGTGTCAAAATAGGAATGTTGTGCCATTCAGGCCAGAGGAATATTTTCCAAGGTTGGGTATATGGAAAACAGCAGCTTGTTATCAATTCCTGGGAGCAGACAGTATTTCTGATAACCTTGGAAAGAGCTGAGTCCAGGTGCTGTTTGCAAGGCCAAGGCCTAACAAGCATTTCTCAGATACCACTGCAGCCTGGAAAGGAGTAGGGGGAAGAATGCACCACCACAACTGTGTAAACATTGAACCAGTGGATTTCCATGGGTTTTGATTGCATAAGTATGTACTAAGAAAAATCTAGTAAAAACCTTGTGTGAGAAGGATTTTCTCTGCACACCCAGGCAATGTGTGGATGAAATGATTTCTGTTGCACATCCTGGCCAGAATAAAGTAATGCCTTAATTCTCTAACAGAAAATTGTTGGAGAGTTTTCAGTTTTTCCATACTTTTGGTGACAAGAGCACCCACAGTGGGAACTTCAATAAAACTTTTAAAGTAATTTTAGGAAAATTTTCACCTCCAGCACATTGTATGTATTTTTACCTCCCCTTGGTGAATTTTGTTGGGGGTTAGGATTTTTCATTTTGTTTCTTTCTGTCATACAGTTTGTTTTTAATAGATAAGAAGGACCGGTACTTAAGAGAGACAAAAGATATAGCCAAGGGAGAGGGGAAGGAGTGCAGCTAGCTGCACTATCTATCTGAGGGGCATTCTCTTGGGAAGGGCAGAGATACCTCAAGATTTTGGCTTGGGGGCAAGAGCACAGCTCCTAGCTCTCTCTTGCTGCTGGCATTGGGGGAGAACAGTCGAGCTGTTTCTTGGTGTGAGGAGAATTCACTGCCACTGCTGGAGCCCAGCCCTGTACTGCTCTTCCTACTGTGGGTGAGCCTTTGCTCGTAAGAAGAGCTGTTGGACTGGGACCTTATCAACACCCTCCCTCACTCAAAAGAACCCTCACCATCCACTCAGGGTGAGGAGGAGGGGGGAGTATGGAACTCCAAGCCCCTGAGCCACCTCTGAGGGACTTTCCCCGGCTGTGTTTAGAACCAGGCTGCCAGTGCCCAGCCCTGCCGCTTCTCTGCCACAGCTCGGGGTTCTTCCCTGCACTGTAACCCCATAGCCCCCGTGAGCCAGGACACTCCACAGTTCCTGCTACAGTGTGGAGTTTCTGATACATTTAATTTCTGCCCCGCCCAGGAATCTGCTTGCCTGTGCCTTCCATCTGCCGCGCCGAGCTTCCTGCTACAGCTCCTTCTGTCATCCAAAGGGTGACTGGGACTAGCTGCTGCAGCACATTTCACCACCCACAGTGGCACTGAGACCGGATGCTCCCCTCGAGTTTTGCAGATGCAGCCACCTCCCCTCTCCTCCATCGCCTGAGCCGCCATCGCCTCATGAGGGAGACGAGCTCGCGCCACAGCGCCCCCTGCTGGATCGGGGGAATCATCGCACCCGCCCTGCCCGGCCGGGAGTCAGCAGCGCCCCTGCTGGCTGTGACCGGAACTGCACCAAAGGGGAAAGCGCCTGCGGCCCAGAGAGGCTGGGACCGCGTGTCTGGTTCTGTTTGATGCTGCTGTTTGTTTGGGTTGTCATACACGTATGTATTAGTAAAGGACTGTTATTCCTTTTCCCACATTTTTGCTTGAAAGTCCCTTAATTTCAAAGTTATAATGATTTATTTATATTTTTTATTAATATATTAATATATATTTTAAATTTAATATATAATTTTTAAGGGGGTCATATTCTCCATTCCAAGGGAGGTTCCCACCCTTCTTGGCAGACACCTGTCTTTCAAACCACGACAGTCACACACAGAGTGTGCTACCTGACATCTGTCCTGCTGAGCAAGTCAAAATGGTGAGAGCTCTCTCCTCTGGCAGAGAATACTAAAAGCATCCTGAAAGAATAAACCTCTTTCCAAGAGGTTACATGGGAAAACATCGTGAACAACAAAGAAGTCTGAATAGCACGGAGAATATTTTGCTCACTGGCAAACTGAAAACTGTACTTAGAGTGAACACTAAAGCATCCATGTGTTATCGCCGTTTCTTATACTACATCCAAAACACAGAACTCTTCCCGCTACTAAGAAAAATATTCTTTCAAATCTTTATTTATATCCAGGGAGAGGAGTGTTTATGCTTCCAGTTTATACTTTCTTGCTTTTGCAGAAAGGTATAGGAATGACCCATGCAAGATTCAATATCTGAAAAGTTTCTGTGCCTAAGACACAAATGATGGAGCCAGAAAGGCTCTGGCAGCACCAGGCGGGACTCCCAGTCTCATTCCTTCAGTGGATCCTTTCCCAGAGCCAGAGGTATGTGACAGAAGAAGTTCAGGACAGTATTAACATCTCTGCATTACCTGATCCCTTTGCGGCTCAGCCCCCTGAATTTGCACATATCAAAGCCTCAGCCTTGCCCTTGCTGAAATCCTCGGGGTTTTTCCCATGTGGTGCCCCACAGTATTCTAGGGTCAGAATTCCTCACCCTCAGGCCCTTGACCACCTCTGGGCACAGCACAGCAACCTGAGCTGGGCTTTATTTAGTATTTTCCTGCCACAGGGGCACTGGGAAGGGTGCTGCCAGCTGCAGTTCAGATGGCTCTGGAGGGGATGTGGCTGATGCTGCTCCTTTTTTCCTGCTGTAAGGCCAGGCTGGGTGTCAGAGGTCTTCCCGTGCCCATCACTGCAGCTGCTGCAGCCCCAGCTGCAAGGCTGGTGTTTGGAAGGAAGGCTGGGCATATATTTAAAAGGATACTCAAAGCAAACCTCCAAACTTCTATGAGTTTTAATTTGCTAGAAGTAATTTAAATACATTAAACGAGGTTTAAAAATATTCCCTCCCCACTTTTTTTTTTTCTTTAAAATGGATTTCTTAATAATATTCTTTTAAATTTCAACATTTTATTTTAAAGGGTAAACCAGACTGTGTTTCACTTTCTCTTTACATAAACCTTTAGACATGTTTTGATAAGATGATAAATGTATTCTTTTCTTGTTTTTTACTTAAACAGTATCAAACTCCATGATAATGGACAAAATAGCTTTTTAAAAATAGCTTTTTGTGCCACTGAATCCTTCTGTTTTCTTATACAGCATTAAAAATACAACGTAATAACCATATTCCTACATTTGCTGGGTATATTCTGACCAGCATGTTCGGTTTCCCCCATATACTAAAAAGTTCCTGGTAAAGTTAGATCTCTTGATGTAAACTGAACTTCTTTCTCTGATCTCTCCTGCTCTCTTCTGGCCAAAGTGGTTATTGTTCTCACAACACTTTCAAATTCATGAAATCCAGCAAATAGCAAAAGCAGGAGGAAAAAAAAAAAAAAAAAACCAAAAAAACAACCAATCAAAGAAACCACACAAACCCCACAAGAAGAGTTGCCCCTGCACATGCCACAAATTAAACTTCTCTGCTCTTCATTTTCATTCTGACCTTACCAGCAGGAACAGTTGGAAACTCTTGCTGAGTGATACAGAGGCTTTGGAAAGACCAGGATCAGGAAGCTGAAAGAGCTGAAAAACTGCATTTGAAGGCTCAAACTGCTTGTAACAGAAGAAATGGAGTAGAATAAAAACTGCATTTGAAGGCTCAAACTGCAGCAGGAATGCAGCTGGAAGTGATTTGTAAGAGAAGAAATGGAGTAGAACACAGGCAGCACTTGCAGCACTGCTTTCAAAATTCCTCAGTATTTCTAAAAGAGTTTTAAACAACAAGCTATTCAAGAAACTTGGTGCTCAAAATTTACTGGGCTGGAGGAAAGATGTCTTGATGGCGTTAAGGAATGGGTTTGTGCCCCGAGAAGCTGTTACACCTAAGTCAGGTCTCCCAAAGGTGTAGATGGGATGCCTGGCTAAGCAAGCAGCAAGTCTGAACCAGCAAGGAATGCAGCCCAAGCTTTCTGGCTTCAGGCAATGAAGAGGCTGATAAGAAAATGAGGGAATGCAAGTGCCAGAGTGCCTGGTGCTCTGGGATAAGGATATTGTGAGGAAGCTGTTTCCTGCAGCTGAGGTGCCCTCAGGAGCTCCAGTCCTTGGATGTCTGCCAAGGGGTTTCTTACTGGGGCTTCTCACATCGAGTTCTGCCTTTTTCTGCCAACAGGTGAGTCTGTTTGCATGGCACAAACCTGTGGATATGATACTTAATGATAATTGAATCCATCTGGGAATTCAGGGGGCTGTGCTTTGGAGCTGTCTTCTTTAGGCATCCCAATACCAAGAGTGTGCTTTGAACAGCTACAAGGGGTTTAATGGAGCAGCCAACGAGGGGAGGGTGGGGCTCAAAGGACAGCCTCAGACATGGTCACTTGCTCTGGGAAAACCCAAATTATCTTTTGGTGGGTCATTCACTCTATAAATCAGGACACAGCCATTAAATCCCTTAAATATTGTTCTGCAGCAAAGTGGTGCAGGGACTTGGAAGAGGATGGAATTATTTAAATACACAGAACAGGCCTGTTCTTGTCTTTAAATTAATTTGAATTAATAAAGGTTTTTCTATCTATTTTATAGAAATATATAAAGTTTTCCAATTATATATGTTATAGTAGCATCAATGGGAGAGTTCCCATTTGTTGAGCAAGTTTTTGTATTTGGAATTCTGGGTGAGATATTTAAAACTCTGCAGTGATGTGATCTGCTGCTTTTCAGCTCTTTTTCCTTCCTCATCTCAGCCAGCTTTTAGCTGAAAATATTGGTAGGGATTGCACATAGGGGATGGCTTGGAAAGGTAATGAATTTGTATAGAAATCATTTCTGCATGGGCAGGCAAAAAGGTTTCCCATCACTTAATTTGTAATTTGAATAATAATCATTCCTCCCTCCCTTTACTTCCTTTCTTGCTGTGCTGTACATTAATTTTGGGAAAGGCACTTGGGAAAATTCCAAATGCCAGTTGTGCTGTGGCTGACCTACAGAGAAAAACTCACCTGGACATGGTGAGAAGGAATTATTTTGTGAAGTGCTAGTCCACTGACACTGGGAGTTACTGCTGAGCAGGAACCACAAACACTTCAATTTAGCTACAATAACCCTGAATAAAGACAAAATCCTGGCTGTTCTTGCCAAACAAGAAGAAAATATAATCAATTTCTGGTTCTAATTGTTTCTTTTTTCTTATTTGCTGCAAGTAAATGTACTTTGAGGCTGCTTGACTGGAGTGGAAATGATGGACTGAGCTGTTCTGGAAGGAATGTCCAGATTTTTTTTCAGCAGATCCTGAATATCCATGCAGAATGTTTTTCTTTTGTATAGAGTGGGACACAGAAAGAGCAATTGCATTGCTGGGAAAAGTAAAAGTTTTGAATAATTGTTCTATTTGTTCTACGGAAAAGCTGCATGTATTCAGTTATTTTAGAAACCAGCACAGAATTATTGATTTCATCACAATCATGTCAGTTAGCATGATAGTTGCCACACCAAGAAAAGAGTGGCTGGTTTTAGAGCTGCTGATATTTTCATGGCTTTAAATATTTAATCCCTGAGTATAATTCTAAAATCACTTTAGAACAAACATGATCATTACTTCTATGTGATAAGAAATAGTTAAAAATCATAATGCACAATGGAAATAGCTTAAATTTCATGAGAGGAGGGAGGAGGAGTTTTTGTAAAGGGTGGAGCTGCTGTGGGCATGCTCATTGAGACGCTCCAGTTTGTGTCTGGATTTCGGCTGACTGTGGTTTCAGGTGAGCTGCTCCTCTTTGGCTGCAGGAATGAGGGGATGATATTTCCATTTGCTCCCATTTACAGTTCCAAAATGGGGAAAAAATTACAAAAGCACAAATCATTTCCCTGCCAACTACAGTTTGGGGAAGTAAGATATCAGTAAAATTAAGATAATTCCTTATCTTAATATCTGACTATCTTAATTAAGATAAACAGATATTTATGCATTTGCAGTGTTTTTCCCACTCTCTCTTACCCAGCTGCATTTTCTGTTATGAATAGTATCTCTGGGGAGATGTCTCACTGCTATATTAGACTAAAGCTTTGAAAGCAGTTGCTGTAATTAGAATTTTACTGATTATCTTAATTCCTTAATATCTGTTTATCTTAATTAAGATAGTCAGATATTAAGATAAGGAATTAAGATAAACAGATATGAAGATGAAGGAATTAAGATAATCAGTAAAATTCTAATTACAGCAACTGCTTTCAAAGCTTTAGTCTAATATAGCAATGAGGCATCTTCCCAGAGATATCATTCAGAAGAGAAAATGCAGCTGAGTAAGGAAGAGAGGAAACAAACCTGCAAATGGATAGATATAAGCAAATTATATCACATTATTGCCTGTGCATTTAGATGAACTTAATACACAGAGATGGCCATTTAAATTTAATTTTTATTACTTCATTTTACTTTAAATTTTTATTAATTTTAAAATGCCTTTTTATTTTTATTATTTACATTTTATTTTGATTCAAGGCAACTTAACTTTTGAAGGTCAGTAACACCTGAGATCCTTGCTAATAAATCAGATGTTTTCAGTTTGATGTCATTCTGCAAATTCAGTCCTGTTTCTGGCTGGACAAACTGGTTGTGGTTGCCAGTCCAGTGTTCCATGAGAAAGGGTTGGGAAGTTGCAGCCTGTTCAGAGACAGAGACACCATGCAGAATTGTTTGTCCTGTGTGGAAGGGTTTGAGGTTACATTTGAGAAAGGAAAATTTGGATTAAAGTCCTACAATGCTTTTTTTTCCTGCACATCAGCAATTTGAAAAAAAAGATCTAGAAGCAGTGCATGAGGTGAAAAATGAATGACATGCATCAGTCTGCTTTGCTTTGCTTCTTTTTAAACTTAATTATTTTACAAATCTTTCTATGGTACTGAAAACACTTGTGGCAAATACCAGCTTTACTTTTTGTCAGGGGATTATATCTCACACTAAAACCCACTCAGCATAAGAACTTCTGAATTTGCTTGGGGTTTTTTTGGTCTACAAGCTTGTTTCTCCTTAAATATGAGGAATACACAGACTGAGTCCAAATGTGGGACAACATCTCCATGAAATCTCTTGATTTCCAGCTATACTAGACAGGAGAAAATCAGTTTTTGTCCTCAGTAAGTCATCAGCAGTAACCCAGTGTCCCTGAAGCCGAAGTGACCCATTTACTGCTTTCAGCACAGGTTAGTGGGTTTTCTCTCAGCAGCACTAGAGCAGCCCCTACAGCCCCATTGGGTGAAAAACATGTGTTTTTTATAGTTTTATAGTGAAATTCTAATGGAGAATTCTGAAAAAGAAAGTGTTGGAGCAGAAGCATGTGGTTGTCTCAAACAGCAGCTCTGCATGGAGTTAATTAGAAGTGCCTTAAAGAAAAGGGTGTTTGACGCCAGGCTGAAACAAGTGATTCTTCATCTTCGAGTTGTGAGAACTCAGCAAGTTTTGGGTTCAGGTTTTTGCAAAATTTCATTAATTTTTTGAAGTTTCTTACAGTTGTGATATACCAGTTTTGAGAAAATAATTTTTAGTCAATGAAGAGCTTAATAATAAAGTGAAGGAATTCTGAAGAACAGCAAAGAACCTGATTATTCCAGAGCAGCTATGAACCAACAGTAAAAGGTTCCTGGAATTGTGAGGCTTCCAGAGATTTTTAAATCAGAATTCAGACTGGCATTTTGAGGTGGTCTTGTGATAACTTCCACAGCAGTGGGAATGTTGGAAATGGCAATGCACTCAGCTTTGGGACAAGGACTGATCTGAGGGTAAATCCAAGTGAATATAATAAAAAAGGAATAAGGAAAAAACAATGTGAAGGAAAAATAATTTTCTGAGTGAATTCCACTCTTCTGTTTGCATGTAAGTTGTCAGAGTTACCAGTGTGTAGCTGATCTTGTGTAGGCTAGAAAAAGAAAAATTGAATTTGGGGGCTGCAATGCCAGTTTCTAGAAATCTCTGTGCATCTGTTGGAATGCAGATAGAGGCAGAAATAGAGGAGTTGCTCTTTAGATTGTCTGTCTATAATTTTAGATATACAAGAGTATTATAGAAATGTTTGTGGTTTTGTTGTTGTTTGGTTTGGTTGGTTTTGGGGTTTAGTCTTGTGTCATTGTTTGAGTTTGGGGCTTTTTTCCCCCCAAAACTGGAAATGTGAGAACAAAGGCAAATTCACAACTTAGAGAGGAATAAATCCTAAGGCTTCATCATCATTTTGGTGCTGTTCAGGGGATGGGGACACTTGGATGAGGAGTTTGGATAGTTTTGATGTGAAATGCCTGACGTTGCAGGCTGGTGTAAGCTGGGGTAAGATAAGCACTAACTGAGGTGAATGTACAAAGTGCTGTAGGAAAATTTCACTCCTGTCTTGCTTTTCCTTGTTCATCTTGGTCACAGTTAATTATTCTGATTTCTACAGTTGCTGCTGTCACAGGAGGATGGGCCAAAATCTGTGATAGATATGAGTTGGGCTAGTGAAAAAGGATCCCACAGCTCTGGGATTCACGGTATGGAATTGTCATGAGGATTTTTTCAAGCATTTCAATCACAGAATGGTTTGGGTTGGAAGGGACCTTAAAGACCACCTCACTCCAACCCCCTTCTCCAGACCTCATCACCTTCCCTAGATCAGGTTTTGACCTAGAAAGCTTGAGAAAAAACACCCTGAGAGATCTATGAGTGCACATCAAAGTTGAAAATCTCCTTTCACTCAGAAGCTGCTGGCAGCAGTTTTGGTAAAGCTCTTTGTCACAGTGAAACTCCGGAGGTAGCTACAACAAGCTGACTTTTGGAAAGGGGACAAAACTCTCTGTTTATCCAAGTAAGTGCCAGAAATTTATCAAAAACTGAACTTTATAATACTGTCCCGGTTTGAAAAGACAGGTATCTGTTTAAGGAAGGCAGGAGCCTCTCTTGAAATGGAAAATGTAAATTCCTTCTTTCAGAATTATTATAATTTTGAAATTCAAAGGCTTTCAGGTGAAGATATGGGAATAGGGATAGCAGTTTTTTATTAGGAAAACTAAAAATACAAGTGAACTAATACAAACAACCAACAACAACAAAAAAAACCTCTTCTGACAGTCAGAATACAACTTGACAACCTGTGGGTCAGGGTGGTGGTGGTAGTCTTCTTGGAGTGCCAGGTGTGGTTCTGCTGGAGTAGG